AAACGCGGGTGCCGGGGAGGCCAGCGCCTACCTCCGCGGCTCCGGCCGGGAATGCCCCGTGGGCACCCGCGCACCTTCCAGGTGGCTCCCCACTGACCCCAGGAGCGGGGAGCTCGTCGGCTGAACCCTTCCAGCCGCTCCGTCTCTCCCCCTGCAACTGCCGTGTCCAGATCTTTTGCCATATTTGTCCTTCTGCCCGCGCGGGGCGCAGGGCGTGTGAGCCCGCCTTGCTCAGAGCCTCTTCCACTTCCCCACGTAACGGACCGAGGGGAACCGGCCCACGGGCTCCTGGAGATGCGGCCTGGGTCCTGACCCCGCCTTCTCAGCAGCCTGCTTTGTTTGTTTGCTTTTAATTGATTGGAGTAACATTGGATAATAGCATATACATTTCAGATGTGCAGCCTTATCATTCGGCAGCTACATATACTCACTCTATTGTGCGCTCACCACCCGAAGAAGTCTGCTCTCCTCCCATCACCATATATTTGACCACCTTTACTCGCTTCCTTTTCCCCAGGCACCGCGTCCTCTCTGGTAACCACCATTCTGTTGTCTGTATCTATGAGTCTGTTTTTTTGTTTGTTTGTTTGTTTTCTCCTTCATTGGATGATTGCATAAAGAAGCTGTGGTATATATACATGCAATGGAATACTACTCAGCCATAATATGATGAAATCTTGCCGTTTATGACAATGTGGATGGTCAGGAGAGTATTACGCTAAGTGAAGTAAGTCAGATGAGAAAGTCTTGGGGAGCACACGAGACTTGGTTGGAAAGTTGGTAAGGAGGACATTCTGAGAAAAGGGGAGTGTGTGGAAGGCCGCCTGCTGTGTTTATCAGAATTCCGACTTAGAGGAGACTGAGGGGAGTGTCGAAGGCGGTGCCCCTAATTATTCCTTGACTTTTCCAAAGAAGTCTGTGCACATGCAGAACCCTGGGTGTTTACTGGAATCCTTATGCCTAATCTTTGGGTGCCTATGCCTAGAGGACAATGCAAACACATGTGTCCTCCCAAGATTACTCACCCTACTGATTGTATCGAAAAGATAAAACTGCAATAAAAGCCTAATGAGGCAGGCAATCGAGGCTGCCTTGTCTCTTAGCCTCTCTTTCACAGCAAACGTTGTGTCGAAGTAATCCATTCATCCGTCGCTCAGGGTCTGCTGGTCAGCCCCGGCAAAAAAGGACACCAACCAGTGGCTCAGTTGGTTGGAGCATTGTCCCATGCACCAAAAAGGTTGAGGGTTTGATTTCTGGTCAGGGCACATACCTATGTTATGGGTTCGATCCCCAGGTCTGGGCCCGTACGGGAAGCAACCAATTGATATTTCTCTCTCATATCCATGTTTCTCTCTCTCTCCCTCTCTCTCTCTCTTTCCCTTCTTCTCCTTAAAAATCAATAAATGTATCTTCTGGTAAGCATTTAAAAAGGGGGGGGAAGAGCCGTGTGATTTTATGATATGTGGGATAGAAAAGAAAAAGGAACAAATCCAGCAGATGAACAACATGGGAGCAAACCCTGTCCTGCCGCCCCCAGCCCCCAGGACATGTGAAAGTTAGGGAACAGAACGCTCTTTGTAAACTCTTATGTGATCCAAATTTAAGGGATGGTGATGATGATGATGATGATGATGATTGCAGCTGTCCACACTCCCTGTTTTCTAATCCCAGATCTCAGTACAGTCTTTCAGCTCCTCCTCCACCGGACGCGTCCCACTTTCACTGGCTTCCAGACTTCCCTCCTCAGGCAGGAACATCTGCAGCTGATAAACCCCACTTGCTCCCTGGGCAACGGCCCTGGCTCCCTTCCTGCCTCAGGACCAGCATCTGTGGGATAGGAAGGGTGGAGGAAGTAGATTCCCTCTGAAGTTGCTCTTTTCCCAGCAGTTTTAGCCCAAAAAGGCGTGTGAGGCGGAGGGAAGAAGGCATGCTGGCGGAAAGATGTCTAGGATCTATAGATATAACCCCCCAAGCGACAGCTCCCTCCCCCCTCCTGCGCATGGCCTCCAGGTGACTCTCCTGTCACAGACTGTGGGTGAGCAGGAGCGAGGGATGCAGCCCTGGTATTAAACTGTCTGGTCTTTGCCTGGAGATTCTAAAAGTCGCCTCTACTCTGGGCCTCTGCAATTTGGCACTTAATTACAAGGTTTGTTTCTGTTCCTGATTCTCTGTGTCGTCCCGCACACAAGGGCATGTGTCTTCCCCAAGGACCTTCTCTGGGCTGCACCTGGGTCTTAGGCATCTCTGTGTTAAGTTTAGAATGTGCCCATGACAAACTTGTCCAATTGGTTGGATATTATTGTGCCTTAATTTTCCCAACTCATTTTATGGTGGTCCCAACTAAACTACTTCCTTCCTTTAAAAATGGTGAAAAAATACGTGTCCATGCACAAGAATGATCGTGTATTTGAAGTAGCTTCAAACCAGAAATAGCCTCCAATGTCTATAAACAGTGGAATGGATGGGTTGGGCATATTCTTACAATGGAGCACCATACAGCAGTAAAAGGTGAATAAACCACTGCTACATACATGACCTGGCTAGTTCACATAAACATAATTGAGCAAAACAGCTAGACATAAGAGAGTAAGTAATGTAAGTTTCCATTTCTATAAAGTTAAAAATAGGCAAAACAAGTATATGTGTGAGAAGTCAGGATGATGTTAGATTTAGAGAGGAAAGGGGAAGTTATAATTGAGAGGATACCCCTAGGGATTCTGGGTGCTGGCAATGTCCTACTTCTTAATCTGGTGGCAGATACATAGGCATGTTCACCGTGTGGTCATGCTTTGCACTGTACATGTAACCCCCTTGGAATGGGAAGCCTTTGGGAGGTCTGAACAGAAGACTGACAGGATCTCACAAAAACGAATGCGGCATGGTCCCTGGCCCCACAGAGCTGACATTTGGGAAAGAGGTGCTGGGATTAAGAGACACGATAGAGGTGCTGGGATTAAGAGAAACACAGAGCAGTTTAGGGACAGGAAGGAGAAATGCGTTCCAGCCCGAAGACTGGAGTCTACTCTCCAGGAGGTAGCACTGGGAGAGAAAATGAATTGCAAAAATTCCACTTACTTTAAAAAAAATTAATAGACTAATTTTTAGAGCCATTCTAGGTTTATAGAAAAATTGAATGGAAAGTAGAGAGACTTCCTAGATATTCCCTCCCCCTACTTTGCCATATTTCATTTCTGTATTGACACACTATGATTAACTAAAATCCATGGTTTGTATTAGGGCCACTCGTCCCACACATTCTGTGGGTTTTGACAGATGTATATGACACGACTTACCATTAGTGTCACGTGGATGGTTTCACTGCCCTAAAAATTCCCTATGCTCCACCTGCTCATTCCTCCCTCCCTCCCTAGGAACCCCTGGCAACCACTGACCAATCCTCTCGCTATCTCCAGAATTCCATAGAATTGGAATCATATAGCACGTAGACTTTTTAGATGGGCTTCTTTCACTTAATATCTACTTCATTTTAAAAAACCTCTCAATACATTTGGAAGCAAAAGAACAAATAGAATTTTGGGCGTCTTTTTGGCACTGTGCAAGGCTCTGAGCCACCAACGGGCATAACCTGTTGGACAAATATGAATAAATTCCCAGCATTGTGACTACCACATTAGCACATGGCCAATATGGAATTATTGAACTGAACTACAGTTCTAACACCTGGAAACGTAGGCATTCCTCAGTTCTCCTGGGCCATTCACTTAAAAGGAACAGATAGCTCTAGTGGGTTGAGCCCTTTATACGTCCAGGCACTATGCTAAGCATTTTGTAAACATTATTTCAAATCAGCATTACCAATAATTCCTTGAGTAGGTATTACTATCTCCGCTTTACAGATGAAGAAACAGGCTCAGAGATATTAAGAAACTTGCCCAAAGTCACAAAGCAGCTAAAGTGAACCTTTAATTCATACTCCAGGCTCATGGGACTCTGCTGATGAGCCCACCAACTGTCGCTGTGGCATCTGCAGAGTTGACAAGCGGCCCAGCACTCAAAACTCTACTTATTTGTACAATTTCCAGAACTACATGTTTTTCTCATCCAACCAAGGGAAACTTAAAAACCATCTTAGTCCCATGACTCCAGGAACTGACGTTTCAGAATCAGGGTTTGGTCTGAGAGAATGGAGGAGAAAAACAAGGTTTGCTCATTAACTCCAAGATCATTCTAGACCAGTTCTTAATCCCATGCC